GGGGGAAATCTTACATTTGTACTAGGGAGGAAACACTTGAATGGGAGACACTGGAACTAGGGGAGGACACTGGTATGGGGGATGACATGCAGGGGGAATAAACTGGTAAAAGGGGAAGATGAAATTTTTTTACGTGAATGACACGGGTTTTTAGGGAAATGACACTGGAATTAGGAGATGACACTGGAAAGGAGATAACACTGTACAGGGAAACACTTTTTATTATGGAGATGACATTTGTACAGAGGAATGCAAGGAAAATGGAAAAATTGAACTAGTGGGGAGGGCACGGTATTAGTGAAGAACACTGGTCAAATGAGTGACACTGGTTTATGGAGAACACTGGTATAGGGGAGAAACACTGGTACTAGAGATGAAAAGGGGTTGTGGCGTTGCACTGACAGTGGGATGACACTTTTAAAAGGGAGATGAAAAGTATAGGGGATGAACTGGATAGGGATGACACGGGTACTAGTGGAGAGACACTGGTACAGTGGGTTACATTTGTACTAGGAGATACACTGAAGGGGATGACAGGTATAGGGGGGGGAGATCACGTCGTGGGATGACCTGACTAGGGAGAGACCGGTATTAGTGGAGATGACACGGACTTTAAAATGACACGGTTTTTAGGGGAGAGGGGACACTGGGATTCTGGAGGATGACACTGTAAGGGAAACATGGTATAGGGGATGACACTTTTTTTAGGGGAGATGACATTGTCAGTGGAATACACGGAAATAAGGGATGACTTGGACAGGGGCGAGGGCACTGGAATTAGGAAAGAGACACTGGTACTAGGGGAATGACACTGGTTAGTGAAAGAGACCTGGAAATTGAGACACTGGTATTAGGGAAAAAAATGGTATTGTGAGTTTGAAAATTTATTAAAGTGGATGAACGGGGTATAAGGGAATGACACGGAAAGGCCGATGCACGGGTTACTAGTGAGAAGACACGGGTATTATGGAAAATAAGGGGTCTAGTATTACACTAAAATTAGGGAGTGAACCCCGGGTTTTATAGATACACGGTAAGAGGGATGAAAATGTATTTGGCATTTTGGCACTGTACTGGGCGATGACACGGTATGTGGAATAAAAGTACTAGGGGCGATGACACGGGTACTTTTGGATGACACGGTATTATGGAATGAAAACGGGACAAAGGAGACACGGGTATGGGGTTTTTGGAGAGTCATTTGGTTTTATGGAATAAACGGGTACTTGTGGGATGACACTGTACTAGTGAAGATGACACGTGCTAGTGAAATGACACTGGAACTAATGGAGATGACACTGGTACTATAGTGATGACACGGGTACTAGTGGTGATGACACTAGTACTAGTGGAGATGACACAGTACTAGTGAAGGACGCTGTAAAAGTGATGACACGTACTAGTGATGACACGGTACTAGTGGAGATGAACAACTGGTACTAGTGAATGACAATGGTACTAGTGATGACACTGGTACCGAGTGATGAACACTGTAGCTTGTAGTGAAGACACGTACTAGTAGAGGTGACCATTATACAAGGTGATTGACACTGGTACTAGTGGAGATGACACTAGGTTATTAGCGGAGATGACACAGGTACTAATGGAGATGACACTACTGCACTAGTGAGATGACACTGGTACTAGCAGAGATGACACTGGTACTAGAGGAGATGACATTGGTATTAGTGGAAATGACACTAGCACTAGTGGAGATGACACTGGTACTAGTGGAGATGACACTGGTACTAGTGAGATGACACTGGTACTTAGGGAGATGACACTGTCACTAGCGGAGAGAAACTGGTAACTAGTGAGATGACACTGGTACTAGTAGAGATGGAAAACTGGTACTAGTGGAGGATGAACACTGGCACTAGAGAAGCACTGGTATTCGTGGAGATAACCACTGGTGCGCGTGGAGATGACACTGTACTTGTGAGTTGACACTGGAATTAGTGGAGATGACATTGGTACTAGTGATGACACTGGTACTAGTGGAGATGACACTGGTACTAGTGGAGATGACATTGGTACTAGTGGAGATGACACTGGTAATAGTGGAGATGACACTGGTAATAGTGGAGATGACACTAGTACCAGTGGAGATGACATTGGTACAAGTGTAGATGACACTGGTAATAGTGGAGATGACATTGGTACTAGTGGAGATGACACTGGCACTAGTGGAGATGACATTGGTACTAGTGGAGGTGACACTGGTATTAGTGGAGATGACACTGATACTAGTGGAGACGACAATGGTACTAGTGGAGATGACACTGGTACTAGTGAAGATGACACTGGTACTAGTGATGACACTGGAACTAGTGGAGATGACACTGGTACTAGTGATGACACTGGTACTAGTGGAGATGACACTATTACTAGTGGAGATGACACTGCTACTAGTGATGACACTGGTACTAGTGATGACACAGGTAATAGTGATGACACTGGTACTAGAATTAAAGTGATGACAACTGGTACAAGTGGAGAAGACACTGGTACTAGTGAGGACACTTGTACTAGTGATGACACTGGTACTAGTGATGACATTGGTACTAGTGGAGATGACACTGTTACAAGTGATGACACTGGTACTAGTGGAGATGACACTGGTATTAGTGGAGATGACACTGGCACAAATGGAGATGACACTGCTACTAGTGGAGATGACACTGGTACTAGCAGAGATGACACTGGTACAAGAGGAGATGACATTGGTATTAGTGGAAATGACACTAGCACTAGTGGAGATGACACTGTACTAGTGGAGATGACACTGGTAAGCTAGAGGAGAGACACTGGAACTAGTGAGATGACACTGGTTGTTGTGGAAAGACACTGATACTAGAGGAGATGACACTTTTTTAACTAGTTGAGATGAATGACACTGGTATTAGTGGAGATGACACTGGTACTAGTATAGATGACACTTGTAACTAGTGGAGAAGGACCACTGGTACCAGTGGAGATGACACTGGTACTAAGTGAGATGACACTGGTACTAGAGGAGAAATGACACTGGTGTTAGTGGAGATAACACTGGTACAGTGGAGAAGACACTGGAACTAGTGGAGGTGACCACTGGTATTTAGTGGAGATGACACTGGTACTACCTGATGACACTGGTTCTAGTGGAGAGATACTGGTACAATTGGATATGAAATAGGTACAAGTTGGAGATTACACGGGTAATAGTGGAGATGACAATGGTAATATGGAGAAGACACTGGTACTTGTGGAGAAGACATTGGTTCAAGTGTAGATGACACTGGTAATAGTGGTGATGACATTGGTACTAGTGGGAAGATACACTGGCACAAGTGGAGAAGACACGGTACTAGTTGAGGTACACTGGTCATAAGTTGAGATACCTGTACTATTGGAGAAGACCTGGAACGTGTGAGAAAAACAATGGTATTAGTGTAGATGACACTGGTGCCAGTGGAGATGACACTGGTACTAGTGGCGATGACAATGGTACTACAGGACATGACACTGGTACTAGTGGCGATGCCACTGGTACTAGTGGAGATGACACTGGTATTAGTGGAGATGACACTGCTACTAGTGGCAATGACACTGGTACTAGTGGAGATGACACTGGTATTAGTAAAGATGACACTGGTATTAGAGGAGATGACACTTGTACTAGTGTTGACACTGGTATTAGTGGTGATAACACTGATCCTAGCGGCGATGACACTGGTACTAATAGAGATGACACTGGTACTAGTGGCGATGACACTGGTACTATTGGAGATGACACTGGCATCAGTGGAGATGACACTGGTACTAGTGGAGATGACACTGGTATTAGTGGAGATGACACTGATATTAGTGAAGATTACACTGGTAGCAAGTTGTTAACGCAGGTATTAGTGGATATGACACCAGTACTGGTGGCGATGACACTGGTATTAGTGGAGATGACACTGGTACTTGTGGAGATGACACGGGTACTAGTGGAGATGACGTTGGTATTAGTGGAGATAACACTGGCTCTAGTGGCGATGACACTGGTACTAGTGGAGATGACACTGGTAATAGTGGAAATGACACGGGTACTTGTGGAGATTGTACTGGTACTAGTGAAGATAACACTGGTACCAGAGACGATCACACTGGTATTAGTGGAGATGACACTGGTACTTGTGGAGATGACACTGGTACTAGAGATGACACTGGTACTAGTGATGACACTGGCACTAGAGATGACACTGGTACTAGTGGAGATGACACTGGTACTAGTGATGACACTGGTACTAGTGGAGAAGACACTGGTACTAGTGATGACACTGGTACTAGTGATCACACTGCCACTAGAGATGACACTGGTACTAGTGGAGATGACACTGGTACTAGTGATGACACTGGTACTAGTGGAGAAGACACTGGTACTAGTGGAAATGAAACTGGTACTAGTGAAGATGACACTGGTACTAGTGGAGATGACACTGGTACTAGTGAAGATGACACTGGTACTAGTGATGACACTGGAACTAGTGGAGATGACACTGGTACTAGTGATGACACTGGTACTAGTGGAGATGACACTAGTACTAGTGGAGATGACACTTGTACTAGTGATGACACTGGTACTAGTGATGACACTGGAAATAGTGATGACACTGGTACTAGTGACGACCTGGTACAATGAGATGACCGGTAAGATGATGACACTGGTACTAGTGATGACACTGGTACTAGTGATGACACTGGTACTAGTAGAGATGACACTATTTCAAGTGATGACACTGGTACTATTGGAGATGACACTGGTATTAGCGGAGATGACACTGGTACTAATGGAGATGACACTGCTACTAGTGGAGATGACACTGGTACTAGCAGAGATGACACTGGTACTAGAGGAGATGACATTGGTATTAGTGGAAATGACACTAGCACTAGTGGAGATGACACTGGTACTAGTGGAGATGACACTGGTACTAGTGGACGATGAACACGGTACTAGTTAGGTAGAAGACACTGGTACTAGTTTTGGAGATGACACTGGTACAGTGGAGTATGACACTGGTACATATGGAGATGACACTTGTACAGTGGAGAAAAACACTGTACTAGTGGAGATGACACTTGGATACTATGGAGATGAACTGATACTAAAGGAATGCACTGGAATTAGTGGAGATACACTGGTACTATGGAATACACTGGTAACAGTGGGAGTGACGCAGGTATTAGGGATGACACTGTAACTAGTATGACACTGGTACTATGGAGATGACACTTTTTAGTAGTGGAGATGACATTGGTACTAGTGAGATGACACTGGTAATAGTGGAGATTACAACTGGGAATAGTGGGAGATGACACTGATACTAGTGGAGATACATTGGTACATCGTGTAGAACATGGTAATAGTGGAGAAGGACATGGTACTATTGAAAGATGACAATGATACTAGTGGAGATGACACTGGTACGAGTGGAAATGACACTGGTACTAGTGATGACACTGGTATTAGTGGAGATGACACAGGTACAAGTTGAGATTACACTGGACCTAGTGATGGCACTAGCACTAGTGAAGATTACACACGTACTAATAGAGATAACACTGGCACTATTGGTGACACTAGTACTAGTGCAGATGACACAGGTACTAGTGGAGATGACACTGGTTCAAGTGGAGATGACACAGGTACTAGTGGAGAAAACATTGGTACTAGTTGAGATTACACTGGTATGAGTGGTGACACTGGCATTAGTGGAGATGACACTGGTACAAGTGTAGATGACACTGGTAATAGTGATCTCTCTGGTACAAGTGGAGATGACACTGGTATAAGTGGAGATGACACTGGTACTAGTGAAGATGACACATACGAGTGAAGATGACACTGGCTCTATTGGTGAACCTGCTACTAGTGGAGATGACACGGTACTAGTGTAGATGACATTGGTACTAGTCGGGATGTCACTGATACTAGCGGAGATGACAGGGTACAAGTGTAGATGACACTGGTACTAGTGGGGATTACACTGGCACTAGTGGAGATGGCACAGGTACTACAGGAGATCATATTGGTACTAGTGTAGATGACACGGTTCTAGTGTAGATGACACTGCTACTAGTGGAGATGACGTTGGTACTAGTTGAGATGACACTGACACTGGTGGAGATTACACTGGCACTAGTGGAGATGACACTGGTAGTAGTGATAACAGGGTTTTTGGTAGAGATGACAAAAAGTACTAGTAGGTGCCCCTGGTTTTAGTAAAAATGACGCTAGTATATGATGACCATGGTATAGGGATGCATGGTACTGTGATATGGACACTGGTTCTGGGTGATACCCTTAGTACTAGAGTGACATAAAATTTTGGAGATGACACAGGTATAGGGAGATGCACTCGTATTAGTGGAGTGACACTTAACTAGTGTGACATGGTAAGTGGAGGTGCATGGTATTGTTCATAAGAGTGTTTTTTGGAGATGACACTGTTTAGTGGGTGCATTTTACTGTGGAGTGACACTGGTACTTTGGAGGTTATAGAGGTATTGTGGAGGGACATTTTACAGTTGAGTGCTAGGTAAAGAGGATGACCTTGTACAAGTGGAGATGACAATGGTAAATCATGCATGGTCCGTAAAAGACTCCCTTGGTGCAAGTGGGAGACACTGGAAATTGCGTGACACTGGTACTGTGGGATGACATGGTACAAATGGAGAGATTTGGGTGTGAACTGGTGTAGGGGATGACACGGTACTGTTTTAGATGACACTTGTAAGGGGGGATGACCACTGGTCTAGTGGAGATGACATGGTTCTGGGAGATGACAGGTCTAGTGGACATGACACTGGTAAAAGTGGAGAGCCCTAGTACGATTGAGGGACACTGGCATGTGGGTTGTCACTAGTACAAAGGAAATAAAACACTGATTTTTAGTGAGACTGGCATAGTGGAGATGTCACTGGCCAAGGGAGATGACACTGATATAGTGATGCACGGGAACTAGTGGAGATGACACGGTACAAGTGGGTTACACTGGTACTAGTGAAAAAAACTGGTACTAGTGAAGAGACAAGTAATAGTGGAGATGCCCGGGCACTTGGGTGACCAGAAATAGTGGAGAGCCGGGGGTCTGTGTGATGACATGGTCTAGTCGGGATGACAGGGGGTTTACTAGTGAGTGACCAGGGTACTCCCGGGAGAGACACTGGTACGGGGAAAAATGAACAGAGTAGTGTAGATGAAATGCTCTAGTAAAGATGCACGTTATTAGTGGATTTGACACGGTGCTGTGATAACTCTGGTTTTTGTTGGATGACAAAAAGCCCCCAGTAGAGATGACATGGTACTAGTGGAGATGCCCCTGGTACTAGTGGGATAAAAACTTTCATTTGATACACTTGTACAAAATGGAATGAACAGTATATTAGTTTAAAAGGGTTTACTTCTGAGATGGTCGCTGTGTGGAGATGACATTTTTCTAGAGATGACGCTGGTACTAGTGGTGATGGCACTGGTAAAGTGTGACATTTGGTATAGTGAGATGACATTGGTAATAATGAGATGACATGGTATTAGAGGAGATGACATGCCACCAATGAATAAAAAAACAGTGCAAGTGGAGATGACACTATTATAGGTTGAGCTGGTTGTGGAGATGACATATTACTGTGTGACGCTGGTCAATTGAGAAGCATGGTGCTAGATTAGGAATAGAAAGTGAGGGACAACGGCATGGTGGAGAGCACTGTATCAATGGAGAGACACGGCATAGTGAAGAGGCACTCATATAGTGGGGACAGGTACTAGTGAGTGCACGGGTATTGGGACATGAACCCATAGTAGTGGAGATGCCTGAACTAGTGTAGATGACAGGTACAGTGGAGATCATGGTTTTTTGGGGATGACATGGTATTAGTGGAATGAACAGTTACTGTGGACACTGGAACTAGTGGAGATGGCACTGTATTAGTGAGGGCCCGGGTTACTGTGGAGATGACAGGTATTTAGTGGAGATGACACAGGTGCTAGGGGAGATTACCATGGTATAGTGATGACATGGTTTAGTTTAGATGACACGGGTTTCTAAAGGAGATGACCGGCATAGGGGAAAGGGACACTGGTACTGGGAAAGAGGACATGGTTCAGTGATTACAGGTACTAGTGGAGATGACCGGGTATAGTGGAGATGGCACAGGTACTAGGGGAGGTGAACCAGGCATAGGGACAGAAGTACGAGTGTGCTCGGGAAAAACTAGTGGAGATGAACTGGTACAGTGTTACACTAGAAAAAATGGAGTGACACTGAAAAAGTGAGACAGGGAAACTAGTGGAATGACACTGGAAAAAGGGGAGATTACCTGGTACTATGAAAAAAATGGTTAGTGAAGGGACCACGTAATAGTGGAGATGACATCTACTAGTGAAAGATGACACTTTTTTAGGGAGGACCAGGACTAGTGAAAACTCTGGATTATTTTGAGATGACACAAGCCCCAGTAGGATGACACTGGTACTAGTGGAGTGACACAGGTAAAGTGGAGATGACACGGGGTAATAGTGGAGTGACACTGGTACGGTGATGCACTTGATACTGTAGGTGACAGGGTACAAGGGAGATGACACTGGTACTAGTGATGCATTGGTACTAGTTGAGATGACGCAGGTTTAGTCGAGATGGCACTTGCCCCTTTTTGGGATGACAATAAACTAGTAGGTGACCAGGAGTAGTGGAGATGACACAAGCCCCGAAGAGATGACATGGTATAGTGGGGGACATGGTACTATTTGGATGAAATGGTACTAGTGAGAGCCCACTGGTACTAGTTGAGATGAAAGGGTACTAGTTGAGATGACACTGGTACTGTTGAGTGACACGGTACTATTGAGATAAAATGGATTTTGAGTGAAATGGTACTATTTGAGATGAAACTGGTACTAGTTGTATGACACTGGTACTAGTTGAGATGACACTGGTACTAGTGGAGATGACACTGGTACTAGCAAAGATGACACTGGAACGAGTCATGAAACTGTTGCAACTGATGATTCTGGTACTAGTGATTACACTGGTGCAAATTGAGATGACACTGGTACTAGTGATTACACTGGTACAAATGGAGATGACATTAGTACTAGTCATGACAGTGGTACTTGTAGAGATAACAATGGTACTAATCATTACTCTGATATTTATCGAGATCACACTGATACTGCGGGAGAAGACACTGGTATTACTGGAGATGACACAGGAACTCGTGAAGATGACACTGGTACTAGTGGAAATGACATTAATACTAGAGGAGATCACTGGTACTAGTGCAAACGACACTGGTACGAGTAGAGATGACACAGTTACTAGTGGAGATGACACTGGTACTAGTGATGACATTGGTACTAGTTTAGGTGACACTGGTACTAGTGGACGTGCCATTCGTACTAGTGGAGATGATACTGAAAGTAGAGGAGATTACACAGGTGTTAGGGAGGACTCTCGTACTAGTGCAAATGACACTGGTACTAATGGAGATGACTCTGGTACTAGTGGAAATGACTTTGGTACTACTGATGACCATGGAACTAGTGGATATGACACTGGTAATAGAGGATATGGCACTGCTGCTAGTGAAGATGACAATGGTACTAGTGTAGATGACATTGGTACAGTGGGGATGACACAGGGACTAGTGGAAATGACACCTGGTGCTATGTTGCCGGTACTTGGTACTAGTGAAGGGGGGACACTGGTACTTGTGAGGATTGACACTGGTACTCGTGGAGTTTACACCAGTACTAGTGGATATGAACAATGTACTTAGTGGAGAAAACACTGGTACTAGTGGGGGACGACACGGGGACTAGTGAAGATGACACTGGTACTGGTGGAGATGACACTGGTACTAGTGGAGATGGCACCGGTACTTGTGGAGATGAAAAATGGTACTAGTGGGAGGTACAATTGTACTAGTGAAGATGACACAGACACTAGTGGAGATGACACTGGAATAGTAGGAGATGACACAGTTACTAGTGCAGATGACAACACAAAACGATAGTCACTCTGGACGCTTTTTCCGGGAAGTCAAAACGTGTCTTCACAATTTTGGTTTTTCCAAACCCACTGAGAAACATCTTTATGATAATAATAGTTAAACAAAATAAAAAAATAAAAAATAATAATAATAATAATAATAATAATAATAATAAATAATAATAATAATAATAATAATTTAAAATCTTTAATAAAATAATAAAATAATAATAAAAATAATAATAAAAAAATTAATAATAAATAATAATAATAATAACAGCATGTTGTGCACGGTACGGGGGGATGACACTTGTACAGGGAAACGACACTGGTACTTTGGGGAGATGACCTGGACTAGTGGAGAGACATGGGACTAGGGAGATGCACGGTACTAGTGGAGATCCTGGTACAAGTGGGATGACAGGGTATTTGTGAAGATGACACTAGTACTAGTAAAGATGATACTGGCACTGGGGATGACCTGGTACTATGGAAGACCCTGGTATTAGTGGAGTGCACGGGTAAAGAGGAAAAACACAAGTTAGTGGAGATGACACTGGTAATATTTTTGAGATGCCCTGGTACTGTGGAGTGACACCGTACTAGTGAAGATGCATGGCATAGTGGAGAGGCTTTGGAACTAGTGAAATGAAGAGGTACTTGGGGAGATGAAACTGGCACTAAGGGATAAGACATGGTTCTAGGGATGCCCTGGAAAATATGGAGAGACACTGGTACTAGTGAAGATAAGCATACTTGTGGGAGAAACTGGCACTAGGGATAAGACACGGTTCTAGTGATGACACTGGAACTGTGGAGATACATGGTACTAGTTGAATGACAGAGGTACTAGGGGTGATGCCACTGGTATAGGGGAGTTTGCACTGCAATAGGATGACACGGGCACTAGGGACCTAAAACAGGGTAGTGTAATGACATGGTAATAGTGAGACACTGGTATAGGGGAAAAAGACATGGTCTAGGGGAGATGACACTGGGTAGTTGAGATGACACAGGTACGTGAAGAGCACTAGATAGGGGGAATTACCTGGTACTAGTGATGAAAAGGGTTTACAGTGGTGATAGATGGGTAGTATGTGACAATGGTATTTGTGGATAAAACCCAAGGTTTTATTTAGATGAACGGGCATATTGAGCCCTTGGTGCTAGGGGAGATGACTTGGTACTATGTAGAGACACTTTCTAGTGATGCACTGCTACTAGTGGAGATGACACGGGTACAGTGGAGATGACACGGGGTACTAGGGAGTGACACTGGTACTATGGAGACACTGGTACTGTGGAGATGACTCTTAAACAAGTGGAGATGAAACTGTTACTAGTGGGGATATTCGGCACTATGTAGGTGACATTTGACTAGTTTTTCCATGGTATAGGGGAGTACATTCCTACTGGGAGATGACACTGTACTATGGAGTGACCAGGTACTAATGCGATGACATGATACCAGTGATGAAAAAAGTCTTTGGGAGATGACATGGTGCTTTTGGAGATGACAGGGTACCAGTTGAGATAGCACGGGTACTAGTAAAGTGAGACTATATTAGTGGAGATTACAGGGAACTAGGATGAACGGTTTCAATTTGTGATGAGACGGGTTAGTATGTGACAATGGCTCTAGGGAGATGACAAGGTACTAGTAGAGATACAGATACTAGGGAGAGACACTGGTATAGTGGAAATGACACTGGAACTAGTGGAGAGACACGGGTTTTAGGTTGAGATGACACAGGTCTGTGAGGATGACACTGTATTAGGGGAGAGTACACTGGTACTCGTGTGACACTGGTACAAGTTGTGGGGATGTAGTAGTGATGACAAGGGTACTAGTGGATATAACACGGTTTTAGTTGAGTGCACTGGCACTTTTGACGACATGGGCTAGTGGAGATGACATTGGTACTGTGTAGATGACACTGTTATATGATGCACTGCTCTAGTGGAGATGACACGGTACTAAGAAGATGCATGGTACAGTGGAGATGTCATGGTACTGTGATGACATGGTAAATTGGGATGACACTGGTTTTAGTGATGACTCTGGTCTTGGGAGATGCACTGGTTGTGGAGATGACACGGGTACTAGTGAGACATGTACTGTGGAGAGGGGAATGGTTTAGGGGAGATAAAGTTCTGTCTAAATGACAGGTACTAGGAAATCATGGTCCCAATGTGACACTGCCTAGGGGAGATGCAAATAATTCTAGTGGAGATGCCACTTTACTAGGGGGAGATACAAAGGCATAGTCACTCTGGGACGTGATGGGGGTGTCCAGTGTTTTGAAACTGGGTTTTTTCCCAACCCACTGAGAAACACTTTATGTTTTAATATTTAATAATAATAATAAAATAAAAATTTTAAAAAATAATAATAATAATAATAATAATAATTATTATTTTTTTATTATTTTATTATTATTATTATTATTTTTATTATTTTTTATTATTATTATTATTATTTCATTATTTAATTAATTAT